ATATATCTTGTTTTTCAGTCTAAAATCGCAGATGGACTATGTCCATCTGCGATTTCCTCTCGTTTTCACCTGCGATTTTGAGGTTTTTTTTTTTTTTTTAAATTTTGTTTGATTACGAAATTGATGGATTTGACAACGAAACAACCTTATCATATATAAAATTTTGCAAAATATTATCAGTTTAGTTGTTATTTGTTTGGAAAATTTATTTAAAACCTCTCTAAAAAAATGATTGAATATATGGTTTGCGTTGTAACTGGTGGGAGATGACAAGTTATTGAAACAAATATTGAATACGTATGTCCACATGAAGGTATTTCTGAATCCGCTTTGATATTTTCTGAGTATATTAGTTATAGTGAATTTGTATCTTTGGTGAGAAGCAAAACTGGCCTGTTAGACAAATATAAAATTAGTCTTCGTTTCCATCATCCTGAATTGAATCATTATATAGCTATGGTTGAAGACATGGATGTTAGAATGTTGATCAATGTAATCAAATGTAGTGGAGGAAGGGCTGTGAAAGTGTTTGTGGTGGCTGATGAAGGTGATGCGGTTACGGAGGGTGGCCAGAGTGGAAATGAGCCGGTTGCTAATTTATGCAACGATAAAGAGAGCAACAATCCAATAGGGACTTTCAATACTCCTAGTATACCTCAATTTCATAGTGTTGCCGAAAATGTTAATGTTAGGTATTCACCTATTCACTATGTGGATCCTGAGACTTACAAGTATGTTGATGATGATGATGTTGGTACATATCTTAATGACGTGGGTGGTCGTTGTGTTGATGTTCCCGAATAAGAAGTTAAAGTTATGAATAGGCGTGTAGCAGATAAAAGTAAAAAGAAAAAAGTTATGATTCAGAAAGATGAAAATTTGCATGCTTACGGGGATTATGTTGATGTTGCTAATGTAGCTTTAGATATAACCGACTTAGAAAGCAATTCTGATGGAGATGAGTTGGGTGATGATGTTAAAGCTAAGTTTCCCGATAACCTTTTTTACGGTATGCCCCCTGTACCAACATGTCCAGTTGATATTAATGAAGATATCCCAACATAGATGGTAGACATCAATCTTCAAAAGATTGAATGTCTCAGTATATTTAAGAACAAAGACATTCTAAAACGGGCTATTAGGAAAAAATGTCTTCGAGAAGGTTTTCAGACGAGGACAAGTAGATCCACCAAATCAAGGTATGAGATTGTGTGTGTTGCGAAAAATTGTTCTTGGTTACTAAGAGCAAAAGGAATTAAAAATTCTGGCGGACTTTTCCAAGTGAATAAATTTGTTGATGTACACACATGTTCATCAACAATTTTGCAACCTAATCATCGACAAGCAAACAAATATGTTTTGGGTGAATATCTTGCTGATGTTTTGGCTGAAGATTATAGTAGAGTATATCGGGGACAAGATATTATTAATGATATGAATGCTCAATTGAAAATCAATATCTCATACCAGCAGGCTTGGCGTGCGAAGCAATATGCATTGTTGTTGTTAAGGGGCACGAAAGAGGATTCTTTTACCAAACTTCCGACTTATTTCCACAATTTGGTCAAACATAATCCGGGTACGGTGACACATATTCAAACAGATGGTGATGATCAGTTTGAGTTTTTGTATGTCGCACTTGGTTGCTCGGTTAGTATTATTATAATTTATTATTATTATTATTTTTATTTTGGTGTATTTGAATAGATATACAATGTATTGTAGGTACACGCATTTGTCAATTTTTGTAAACCGACCCTTGTAGTAGATGGAGCCCACCTAAAGGGCGAGTTTAAAGGTACCATGTTACTTGCAGTTACTAAGGACAGACAAAACCAAATATTACCGGTTGCATATGGTATATGCAAAAATGAGTGTACAGATTCTTGGACATGGTTTTTTCAAAAACTACGTGATTGCATAAGGTTTCCAAAAACATAAAGAACACTGAAATCCGAGTTATAACGAAGAAGTTCTGACCAATCGAAAATCCGCGATAAAACCGACAAAACACTATTCAGTGTAAAAAGCGAATTTTTGATAAAAGGCTTTTTAGCCTTAACAATCTAAATAAAACTTGTAGAATATGTTAAACCGAGAACGTTCATAAAA